ACACACACACTTACACCAGTGAGTCAATTATCCCAGAAGCCAATTAACCCACCCGTGTGTCTTTGGACTGTGGGAAGAGACCCCATGTGAACATAGGGAAAACATGCAAACTCCCCCCAGACCGCACCCCCAGGAATTGCACCCAGGGCCCCAGTGCTGTGAGGCTGCAATGCTCACCACTGCGCTACTATGCTGCCCTGGTTCCATTCATCTTAAAAAGAGCAGCAATTTGTGGCATGCATCTCTCATGAGCAAGACATAATTATGAATATTAATTAACTCCATTTCACAATGCTGGAAAGCAAAGAAAACTAAACAGACTTGTACTTTTTTCTTCATATACTTAATATGAAAGTGAGCAGCCCTTTCAGAGCTTTGGTGTCGGACGAGCGATCAGTTGCTGGGAATTGTGGGAATGTAAATGATCAAACTCTTGTCAGTGGCGTGAGAGGGACAGGTGGAGGAATGTGGGGCAGACGCAACCACTGGGCAGAGATTGGCCGCCGTTTTCTCACCTGGGGAAGCAGTGAGCCGCTGTGACCACAAAATCCGGGGAGACCAGGGACCCCCCGCAGGTGGGGAAGCCGTTGAAATGCAGGCTGACCTGCCAGGGCCAGCTTCCCGCATTGGCCTCGGTCCCACCGACAATCCTGCTGGCGGCTTGGCGGTTCCCACAGTCTGCGGAGGGGAAGAGGCAGGAAGATGAGAGAAAAGAAATCAGGAGGCAGGGCAGAGATGAGAGACCCAGGAATACAGGGAGAAAAGGGGGTAAGTGGGGGGGATGAGCAGGTGAGGAAAGATACGGATTAGAGCATGAAGAGCTCAGCCTTCAAGAGAATCCCAGGAGGCATCTCAGTACAGTTTTGTGTGAGAATCTGCAAACATACATCTTTATATATTCGTATATGTGATTGTTCTTAGAAACTTGAGGAATATTTATGAGTAGATTTATTTGATGTTTAGGATATTTATTGATGCTATAGCTTTTGATATCCTCTTTGAGTGAATATTTTAAATCGAGAAGCTCGCTTAAATTCTCCTGTGCTGCTGTTGCTGTCGGGGATCGGTTTTTCTTCACTCTCGGAGCGGGGCACCCTAATGTTACTGCTACTGCCCAGAATCAAATGTTGGGTTTCACTGGATCGGGAGGAGAAGACCGGTCCTGCTGTGCTGGGCTGTTTGCAGATTTCCCAGGTCTCCAAAAAGCACCAGCACCTGAAGAGCTGGAAGAATCTGTTTGATTGGTTCTGTTAAGCCAGGGATGAGCTGGTTAAGAGCTGAGCTGGAAGGAAAACCTGAGCTGGTCTCCCAGGACCAGGATTGCTCATCCCTGCATGTAATTCCGATGCAACTGTGAAGCAGCACGGCTCTCCTGCTGTGACCCATGACTGGGACACTTCGGGAACCCGCTGTGCGCACAGGAGCACAAGTAGTATTTCTAGGAATCAACACTGCAGGCTCATAGGAGCCTGATGCTACTCTGTCTGGCTTAACCCTTCCCAGCCCTGCTAGCACTTCAGTGCAGTCCTGCTTAGGGAGCCTCGTTCTCAGAAATAGGGGTGGTGTGAGATATGTGCACAGTACCAAGGTAAAGAACAAAGATTCTACCTATGCACTTCAGAGAAACAATCTTCTTTCCTGGACAGGAGGCACTACAGCATGAAAGGAGAATACTGTCAGTACACATTCTTGCAATAGAACGCCTGCCCACACACGTATTTATAAAATACACTTCCAATAACACCTTTGTGCTTCATGGAAATACCAGACACCCCTCCTGATGTGTTTGTGTCTGCTCTCGTTTGTGCTTGGTGTTGTGCCTCACAGTCGGAGATCTCTCTGATTGCTGCTTTTTTTAGGCATTAAGGCTCACGTGCAAACGTAGCATTCTTAATTAAATATATAACCACCGTACAGCAGAACACCCCTCTTCTGAAGACTTTGGTCTGCCTTCCAATGTTTTTAGTTAGAATTGCACGGTGCCTTCAACCTACCCTGCATCGTTTCATTAACAGGCCTTGATGACGTGCAATCTGGCCAAAGAACAGCCAACAGGTCAGTTCCTGACCCAAGAGGAAAGCAGTGCTCAGGGTGTATAGTGAACGATGATAGAGACTGTTCTAAAACACAATGACTTTCTGTGAGGGGTCACACTCTCAAATCTGGGGTTAACCCATCCTACCTGGAGTCCACTTGACCCTGGATGTAATTAGAGGGTAAGGATGTAACAGAGAGGCCATTTGATGTCCAACCATTCAGCTCCCCAGTGCTGGAAGATCTGTGAAAGTTCAGGAACACGAATATGTTAGATGTTACCCAGAGTCCGCATATCCCACAATCCCACAGGTTTCTGCGCTTGGCAACTGATGCGTGCGATTGTCTCGTTAGCAGCGTAGTCATGCAAATATTGAGATTCCGACGCCTGTTTTTAACCCCCCTGCTCGTGTCTTAAAGAAAGCATGTTGCTGATACTTGCTCTCTGTTTTTTTTCTTTTGTGCTGTAATCTAGGGTCTCCACAGGATTTGGGGCTCCTGACTCACTGCCCCAGTGTGTGGTGCTGAGCGTGTTCTCAGGCTGCAGAACCGGTAAGATACTGGTTTTGTTTTTAAACAAACTGGAGAGCTAGCGCACTCAGCACTGCCGTGCAGCAAGTCCCTGACATTTACAGAGAAAATGCTTTGATTTATTGTTAGTTTTGCTTATGGTATTTTTGACTGATACGTTGATTCAAGGCAATGTACAGTAGTTCCACTTGTAACTGTATTCTAATTAATGGCATGCAGACGCCAGATTTCTGGTTTCATTCTTACAATGCATGACTCTAAGCGGGGTAGCGCAGTGGTCACCATGATTGCGTTGCAGTGGTGAGGCCCCGTGTAGAGTTACTGGGGTGCTGTCTGTGTGGAGTTTGCATGTTCCCTCCAGGTTTGGGTGGGTTTGTTCTCAGAGTCCAAAGACATGATAGTAGGTTAATTGGCTTCTGGGAAAACGGACTCTGGAGTGAGTGTTTGTGTCTGTGTGTGCCCTTTGATGGACTGGCATCCTGTCCAGGGCCTTGTGCCCAGGGATCACACGGTGATGTTGTACTTGGATGAAGCAGTTAGAAGATGAAAGGATGGATGATTGTCTCTCCAGTATTGGCTTGTGATTGGGGATTGATTGCTGTTTCCTGATTTCTATACTACTGAGGCTTGAAAACTGACAACACACCCCATGCTAGAGAAAGACAACACTGTGCATGAAGTAGTTTTAGCAGAGAAGAGGCAGAAGTTGTTCAGGGTTGATGATCGGCAGACCTTCACAGCTTGATGATATTGATCTAACTGCACGTAACGCACTGTGGAATGTTGTGGCCAGACTGCTAACACGACTCTTCCAGCAGTCGTTCGAGACTGGGTTAATTCCTGCTTCCTGGATAACTGTGAATGTAGCTCCCATTCAGTTAAATGGAGGACAGAACTGAGCTCATTACCAATGGAAAAGACTCAGTTCTTTTACTTATGAAGAGACAGTAATTAGCCCTAAACTAGAGGCTTATCTGTGTGGTAAGAGTATTCTAGGAGATAGTAATTATGTATTTAGACAATACACTTATTGATTAATTAACCTGTCAGAGTGTTTTTAACAAGCCACAGCAGAAATGGATTCAAACAGAGCATATGATTTAGGAATGTAAGATTTGAAGATAAGGTTTGGCACAGCTGGGTCATCTGGTTTGCGTTTTTGGATTTTCATAAAGCAAATAACCTACCTGTTAGATGAGATCTAGGTTTGTTGAATCGGATGCAGAATATTTTGTCCACTGCGTTTTGAGATGGTATGGACTTGCCATTTTTCTCGGATTTTGTCAACGCAAAGACGCAATGTTTCATTTACTTTTATTACAACAACTACATCAGTCCCCTTAACTGGTAAGTATTGGACTGGTGTATCGTTTTGAGCCCTCTTGAGCAGCCCAGTTTAATTGAAGTGTTTTAAAGCGTAGTCCTGATTCGTGTGATAAATTTAAAAAAAAATAAGTCTAAACATCGTACAGTAAATGTGCTGAATGGAATATACAGTTACAGCTGTATTTGTCAACCCTTAATGAATAGGACATATGCCAAAAAAAGAGTCTGGGTATTGACAGTAATGGACACTGTTAATATGATCTGGTTTCCTTGTCAAGTGGCGTGAATATGCAAAACTATTCAAATGCTGAAAATAAGGTATATCAAAGATAAGCTCTCTGAAGCAAAGACCCAAAACCCCCAGCTGCTAAACATTTTAATGATCAACATCTGAATTGAGGGTACAGTAGATAGGCAAACATTCCCCTCTCACAGAGACTGTTACCTGTCTTTAAATACTGAAGCCTAAGGACTTTGGATTCCTGAGTTTAGTTACGTTCTATAGGTTGTAGGTTTTCCTTCACATCTAAGCTGATTGTGAGGTATGTTCCTCTTCATAGATATTATCTACGTGCTCAGGTTGTGCATTTTTTAAATTATATCCCAGCTGTGACAACAGCACATCCTTGCTGGGTGTGTATTGGAGGGTCTGATTGTGTATAAGTCTTGCCGTGTCGATCAAAGAGCCCTGTCTGAGCTTGTGATCTGTCCGCCCAAAGTAAAGGCCGAGGAATTGGACTGGCTAATCATGCCGGTCGGAATCGTGCACGTCGGAGATAGAGATGACATATTTGCAAAGCTGATTCTAAAATACTGTGCCGCAGCAGTTAGAGTTCTGGACTTGAATCCCAGGAGAGATGCTGTGGTCTCACCTATGAGCAAGCTACTGCACCAGGATTCCTCTACTAAAATATCCAGCTGACGTGGGTGCAAATCGTACTTCCTTTGGACACAGTTGTGTACCAAATGAATAAGTGATGGCACATTGGCTATCCTCACAGGACAGGGGCCCTGTGTCCAGTTCCTGGGGTGCGGTCTGTGTGGAGTTTGCATGTTCTCCCCAGGTTTGCGTGGGTTTCCTCCTGGTCTAAAGACGTGCTGGTAGATTAATTGGTTTCTGGGAAAATTGGCCCTGGTGGGAGTTGTTTGTGTCTGTGTGTGTGCCATGCGATGGACTGGTGTCCTGCCCAGGGTGTACCCTGCCTTGCACCCCCTTTGCATGCTGGGATAGGCTCTGCAGTCCCGAATTGGGGGAAAAATGAAAACCGCTGACCGAATCAAACTGGAACTGAGCAGACGTTAAGGAACTGTTACCCCTTGAAGCTCAGCTGTCTGCAGGTCTTGTCCGAGAGAGACTGGCTCCAGCCCTCCGCACACACAGGCAGAAAATCCTTCATTTTGTTGGTCTTGATCTGCAGGGTGCTGTTGTCCAGGAACCTCACTGTACAAGGAACACAGGAAAGCAGAGAGATTGGACACCAGGAGACAAGTAATTCCTGTGTTTCCTAATGGGACTCTTAATTGAGCTAATTGAATACTTTAATTAAACTGACTGGGCGTTAGACCCTTTTGAAACACTACTTCCTATGACATATAAAAATGTTGGACAGGATAAGAAATCCCATTAACCCATGGTCATAATGGATTTCAGAACTCCTTATGAAGTTATTATTTAAGCAAGCACCAGTTTTCTGTAGAGGGGAGGCACAGTAGTGGCGAGCATTGCTATCTTACAGCATTGGGGCCATGGGTTCATTTTCTGGACCTTGGGTGCTGTCTGTGTGGAGTTTGCATGTTCCCCCCAATTTCACTTGGGTTTCCCCCGGTTGTTTTGGTTTCTACCCGCAGTCCAAAAACATGCTGGTGGGTTATTTAGCTTTTGTCAAAACCGGTCCTGGTGTGAATGTGTGTGTGTGTGCCCTGTGATGGACTGGTGTCCCATCCAGGATGTATCCTGCCCTGTGTCCGTTGTTTGCTGAGGCACTAACTCCCCCCGCAATCCTGAGTTGGATAGAAACGTTAGAAAATTGAAATTTGGCTTGAGAACCCGAGACGTCACTAATTGATCAAGCTACCAGACATGGTCCCTGACCCAATATGCAGGCTACAGCCTTAGGAACGTAAGAATGGTTTCAGGCAGGAAGAGATCACTCAGCCCATCTAGCCCGCTGCTTAGAAAGGACTGGTAAAGGAAAAGGACAGCACTCTCAACCCAGCCTGTCCCCAGATTTCTTTTTTTAACTAAGCGCTCTCAGCTCACTAGTGCGTTTCTATTGCTGTGTGTGTATGGGGGTGGTGGGGGGAAGACATAGTCTTGGCAGTAATGCTCCAGACCACACAACAGGCATCTTGCTGATACACGCCCTGGCCCTTGCAGATGATATCTGAGAGGGGCTGTTAATCGAGCTGGTCCCTGAGCTCGGTTCTTGCTGGTCAGAGTGCAGGGAATGATCCCACTGGTCTATACAGCCAGGTGTCTCGTGTGAGCCTGGTAGACAGAGCCGTCACCTCTAAAGCATTGCAGGGCATCATGGGATCATGGCTGTCATTTTAAAATAAAGACGCAAACACAGCAGTGCCGTCATGAGTGTCTTGGGTTACTCTGAGCTGGCAGTGTGGAAAAACAGGCTGGGGCAGCTGTATGAGGGCTCATGGGTTTATTGTCCTTTGCGTTTACAGAGGGGCCTGCTTGGCAGGGAGCAGGAAAATAGCTGTGAAGGCTGAGAGAGAGCCTTCACCCACAGCACAGCATAACTAATCAACCGATTCACAAGCCAGATAGCACTGCTTTACCCACTGGGACGCGCACACAGATTCAGCACAGACTGGACCCTAACAAGACAATACTCACTAGCCGAGTACCTGACCAGGGTGAGAGACAGCAATGAGAAACAGACCCTGACAAAGTACAGGCTCACTGAGCACAGCCTGGACATAGGAACTGGACACAGATGGATCTGGCTGTCCAGAGGGGACAGGCTCACTGAGCACAGCCTGTACATAGGAACT